TACGGAAGTAGGATTGCCCAACCTTCCTTCCGAGGAGTGGCTGGTGGGTTTGAACCGCCAGCCGTCTGGTTAGCAGGCAAATGTCTTAGCCACTATGCTACCAGAGCTCTAGGGACTATTAAATGTATGTTTTTGTGTGGACACACATACATACGTACACACACACACACACACACACATAAAACCAACCTATATGTGCAGGACCAATTATGATTTACAAAGTGTTCTATAAATAAAATTAGCTTTATGCAAAAGTATAAAGGGCGTAGGGGTAGTTTCTACATCTGGCCTTGGCAAATCTACAAATTTAAGGAGCTGTATTCCACACTACCATCATATTTAAGAGAAATACTAGATCTGAGGAAGCCCCAATTTAGTAAGCTATTTACAGTAGCATATCTGAAAGGGTTGGGATTTAAGAAACAATGTCCAGATCTGCATACCTCCCAGCCCTTCACTACTTTGTGAAGAAGTCCCTTCCCCTGAAGAGAGAAAAAGACTTCCATTGAGCAAGGGCTTCCCAAGCCCTCACTTTCAGCAGAGTAGACAAGCTGGTAGAGGTGTGGATCATAAGTGTGTCGTAAGCACATAACCGAGTTCCCACCACCACAAAGACCAGCGAGCGGTCTTTGCACCATGGGGACTAATTCTTCTGGCCCACCGCGAGAGTCTAGGTGGGAATGCCGGCAATCACGACACCAGCTGTCATGTCCCGTGGTGTCACGTCTTCTGCTGACAACCGTGGAAGCAGAGAAGCTCGACAACACACACACACCTCCCGCTCAGGCGCCATTAAATGACCAGAAGCCGCGTCCAACGATTTGTACTCAGCACTGCACACAGGGAAGAGTTGCGTTTAACTAGCAAGCTACCAGACGTGGCTATGGAAACGCCGAACACCGAACACCTCAATCTTATTCATCTCATTGGCTCAAAGGCGAATCTCCCTCCCCTTAACGGTTTCACTTGGAAAGGCAACGTTCGCCTTCTGATCATTTTAATTGCACTTTTAAAAATTGTTTTTTTCCATAGCTAGGAATGGGTCCCCAGATAAAACTTTCCAAAGCATTTACGGTGGGTGACAGACAAAGTCAGGGGAGGTGAACTGACAGCAAATTATGAGTAGGATAGGGCGTGTGTATCTGAGTGTGTGTACGCATGCGCGCGCGCGTAAAACTCCACCAACTATGCAATCACGAATCGACCAACCCTCTCGAAAACCCGGTAAAAAGCCTTCGTTCCAGGTGGGTCTCCTGTCTCCCTCAACACCCGGACCCCAGCAGTCAGTGCGGGGTGCACTGCGAAAACCCAGAGCCCCTAAACACACACGCACACACACACACACACTCACAGAGAGAGAGAATATGAATACAGAAGTAGATAAAGACCGAGAAAGAGAGGGGTATAGATAGAAAAAGGGAGCAATAGAAAAAAAAGAGATCTGGAGGAGAAAAGACACAGGCTGCCGAGTCACGAAGTTGGACTCCGCCCAGCCAGCGCCTGGGGAAGGGTGGCCTGGAGTAGTGGAGACAGTTGGCCATTTTTTCAAGTTGCCCGAGTCAATGGCTTTCGGCAATATCCTGCGTTTTCCACACCCAGCCACTCCGGAACGATAGGTCCACGGTGATCACCATTTCCGGGTTTCCTTTTTCGATTTCTGGCCACCAGACGCTGCGCGCCGCCCCACCCCCCCTGCCCCGAGACACAGACTGAGGCGAGCAACACCGCCCCGAAGCCACAGCGCCGCCCGACGCCCGACGAGGGAAGGTGCAGAGCCGGCCCCGCACCCGCCCTTTGCACGCTTCCTCACAGTGTGACGGCCACCGCACAATCACCCCTGGCGAAACCCAAACAGCATCCTCTGCGGGCTGTTCTGCGGGCCAGGGGAGTGGCAGCCGGACGCCCGGCACTCCTAGCCCCGCGGCGACAGTCCTGGAAGCCAGCGATGGGTCCCGGCCCTGCACAACGCACGCCAGAGAAGGGGAATCTGCACAAAAGCGTCTCTTCGGCGCGCGCCACACAATGGCCCCTTGCTCTCCACGCGGCGCGCCCCTCCCCTGCAGCCTGGACCCCGTGCACATCTATACTCACATCTGGGCAATGAGGGGCGATGATCGATAGGAATCCATATCTTCTGCACTCGGCTCTGAGTCAGTTCCAAGGGCATCTTCACAACTTCGTCTTGGGTGGCCCTCCAACCCTCACGAAGTATTCAAATTTGGGGGAGAAAGCGGCCTGCTGACCTCAGGGAACAAAGAAGAGAGGATGCCTACGCTGGAGGACGGTCCCAGGGCGCTCTCCCTTAACGCTGCTTTTTAAAAAAAGTGCTTTGTGTTAAATAATTAATGCTGGCAAAGTGTGTGCGGCTCCGCACCACAAGCTGCTGCAAGAGGGGTGGGAATGTAGGGACTGCACTTGCAGCGCCTACACAGTCGGGCTTGTCTACTTTGGGAAACCTGGGCGCTCGCCCGCCGGAGATGCTCGGGACAGCGTGACAGCCGCGATCTCCGCTGGGTATGGCCAGGACGTAAGCCAATTGCGAGCCTCGCTTCCCCTCTTGTTAGTCTTCCTCTCAAGCTCGGCGAGGATGCCTCTCGCACCACCGGTATTCTTAAATTGAAGCTGGCAGGACGCACACGTCAACCTTGGGGCGGGGACATACCCTTTTGGTTCCAGCCCCCTTTCACGTGGGGGATGACAGGGGGTAGGGAAGCTAGGACGCGTCCCGATGTCGCCCCCTTCAGGCTTTTGAAAGCAGCGCTCCCTGCTCCTGCAACCCAGACCCAGTCCTGACCCACCCTGTGTCCCTCACTTCTGGCAGCTCTCTAAAAGTAAGGCGGGACCACGGCCAGCCCTGAAAGTCGGTTTGACTTCTTGACCCTCGCTCTATTCTCCCGTAAAGGCAATTCACACCACTTCCTAGAATAATTCTGATCCCTCACCTCAACTGTGCTGGGAGGAAAGACAGCTACACTGTTCTGTGTGGGCGGTGGAACAACGCCCCCCCCCCCAACAGAACAGAATAACCTGAGATGCTTGTGAAATGTATTTTACTGATTCAGTCTCTCTGGGAATGGGGCCCAACATTCTGCATTCTTAACATCTGCTCTAGGTCAGGCACAGTCAAGTTGAAGACCCAGGTTTAGGGATAACAGTTTAGGAAGGGGGTGAGGGAGAGTCTGCTACCCTAGAGGGAAGTTGGAGGACAGGATACTCAGAGAACCTGAGAGGAAGAGCCTCCTGGGTTGCTCTTGCTCCTAGCCTACAACTGTTCCCCGATAATAACTGAATTATTCCCACCACCTGTAAGGAGAGGACTTCCCTGGCCCTTCATCCTCACACACACTCACACCCTTACTTTCTTGAATCCCTTAGAACCTTAACTTTTCCTGAACATTGTCTCCCCCATACTCAGCCCCAGGAGCTGGAAGTCAGGCCCCTGCCGGCTGGCTATGGTGCCTGGCAGAAGGGGGAGGCAGCACAGCCCAGCGAGTCTGCACTGGAAAGCCCATTTTCTTTCTTACATTCACCATTTACCATATTGTAAATAAACCTTTTTTTTTTTTCCACTAGTAAAGGAGTAAATAAAATTAGCCACCGTTCCCACTGGCAATGCATCATTACCTGACTGCATGCCCAGGAATAATTATTGGGAGGCTGGCACCTCGATTAAGCAAACTCCTAAAATTCATGACATTTATCAGCACAGCCCTAGGTCTTTTCCTCACCAATTTTTGTTGCACACCCTTCTGATTTTCCCTTCCTCTCAGCTTTGTATCTGACAGTCATGTAGTCAGATTAGTGGTGGTCCTATAAAAGATCTGGGGTGTTTTTTTAGTGGGGCACTGCCACCCACACAGTTGTATTACATTCATGTAACAGGGCATCACGTTAGCATACGATACATCAGTACAGAGGCGCTGCCATGCAGAGATGCTTATTTCAAGCTGAGGTTATGCTGTGATTGGAAGGGAAAACAGAGGCGCTCCCAGAAACGTACACTTCAATGGAAAAGTATGAGCACAGGCTGCCACACGTCCGTCACGTCCCGCATGCCTCTGCTGGGAAGGCGCACGCACCCTGGCTGCAGCTTTGCTGCAGCGCCTCAGCTTTGGCGCCAGGAGGCGGCCATGGAGACAGCGCCTGAGCCTTCTCTCCCAATCCTCCGCACCAAAGCCCACTGGAGGACTCTACCCTGGTGAGCAGAGCCCTCCAGGCAGGTTCCCAGGACCTTTCCCCTACCCCACACTCCGAGAACACTGCCCCTCAGGCCCCCCCCTCCCAGGAGTCCCTGCTCTCCCCGACAGCTTTGCTGACTGTCTGGTTTGGAGTGTTCGGGCAGCTGTTCAGAAACCTGAGTGCACTGCATTTGGACTTGTTTTTCTGCAGTTGGAGCAAATGCCAGACATGACACCCTATAACGTCCAAAGGAGAGCCCCACTCCACTGTTGAAGTAAGAGTGGGCTAATTTAAAAGAAAAACAGCAGGAAGAAAGAGCCCCTGGGGTTGGCTGGAGTCAGGTGAGGGAGGGTGTGCAGACTTGAGAGGCTTTACCCTCTACTACCTAACACTAGCCTCATGTAATAACTGGTGTACCTGCTTTTCCAAAGGAATTTTCTGCCCAGATTTATAGACAAAGAAAGCAAAGGAGATGCCATTCCTTCCTCCCTCTGAACTTGCAAACAACTGTGGCTAGTTTTAGCTGAGAGGGATTGAGGTGGAAGACACACCAGAGGAGGCACATTTTTAATCTCATGACCTAGATAACAGTATCTAACCAGAGGTCAGCTCTTAGGGGACAGGCAGTTCATGTTCCTTGGAAGTCTCAGCTTAAGCATTTGCACTACATCTGGCACCTTCCCTGCCTGAAACACAATAATTCCCTGGGTGTCTATATCACAGAGTAAAGACTAAATTCTTTGTCAACTCTTGCTGTCCATTTGACAATTTGTCAAATGGACATTAATTTAATCCTTCTCCCACTTCTGATATGTAACGGCTGGGAATGTGTGGAGGATAAGGGTAAGCTCACACTTGCTTTTTTTTTTTTTAAAAAAAAAAAGGCCAGCTAGAATTCCTTGTCACGTTTACAGCCATCAAGTAAATTATATTTCCTAATTGGAAATATAATTGCTTCACTACAGAAACCATTTAAGTACAAGCCAATTGCAACTGTATTCCAAGATTTACTGGCTCAGAGTTTACTGGTTTAAACACTCTCCTGACTCTTCTCTAGTTCCACCAATGACTCCATCTTCACTCCGACTGTCACCCTCCAGCCTCTTTCACCAACTTCCATCTCCAACTTAGCATTAACTATAGTACTTCAGAAAGCAGAGAATGTAAACATTTCTCTCTGCAATGTTTTTCTCACCAACACTACTACAAATACTAGAGGAGATGGTCAATTTTTCTTAGATTTTGTGATTCATGGTCCTGAACACTATTAGCTGAGAAGGAACCTGTACAAAAATCTAGTCAACCCTCATGTTATTAATGAGTAAATGGAGGTTTAAAGATTAGAGAAATCAAGGACTGGGTCAAAGGTCAAGGAACAAAGCCCATTAGGAAGCGGTTTACTGTTTTTCCTACTTGACAGAGATAGCAGATAGCTCCCTGCTGCATCCAGAACAATTGAGCTCTGTGGCAGGAAACAGCAGAGAAAGACCTCTGTTGTGTAGAAGGAGACATGAGTAATTATTTAAAATGATACTCCAATATTAATTAAGACTCTACCAAGTACCTGGTGAGGTGCTTTATGGTGGCTGATTCATTTAGGTAGATCTGTCCTTGGAGAAAAGATGACTGAAGTGATTTTTCTCCACGACCTTCTTTCTTCCCCCTCTCCTCTGCTTAGCCTGTGTCATCTAATCCTTATCTCAATCCCAAATGCTGCTATAACTAACAACAAAAACAACCCCATTTCCATGATCCCATGCCAACTAGCTAGATTTGAACATTAAAACCTAGGAGCTCTGGTAGCATAGTGCCTAAGGCACTTGACTGCTAACCAGAAGGCTGGCGGTTCAAACCCACCAGCCACTCCTCGGAAGGAAGACTGGGCAA